ATGATGGCTGTACTCGTCTGAATACCCTGTGTATCAGTTAGAGTGCTTTCAGCTGCAAGTAATGAATTATCAAATAGAGGGTGGAGAAAATAGCCAGACCCTTAAAATTTAGTGTTATAATTATCCTATAAAAATTGTTTCATATATTGTCTTTTTATTTTCAATAATGTCAAAATACTTTCTCATTTTCTATTTGATTTCTTCTTTCACTTACAAGTTATTTAGAAGTGTGTTATTTAGCTTCTAAATATTTGTGATTTTTCCTGATATTACTGTTACTGACTTCTAGTTTAATCCCATCACTATTAAAGAACAAAGTCGGTAGGACTTGATTTTTTTTAATTTCTAAAATATATTGGGAGTTGTTTGATTGCATAGGATATGGTCTATCTTGGTAAATGTCAGTGTGAATGTGAAAAGAATGTGTTTTCCACTATCATTAGATGGAGTGGCATATAAATAGCAATTATTAGATCATGTTGGTTAATAATGTTGCTTACTACCATAAGTAAGTCATCTACGCTAGTACTAATTTTTCTGTTTCCCTGTCCTGTCAATCATAAAGAGAGGCCTGTTGAAACGTCTGACTTTAATAGTATATTTATCTGTTTCTCCTGTCAGTTCTATCAGTTTTGCTTCAGGTGATCTGTAGCTCTGTTATTACATTCATATTCAAGACCATTAAGTTCTCTTCATTTTTTTAATCCCAAAGGGTGCATAAGCTCACCAGAGAAAGAAAAAGAGAGAAAAAGAGAGAGAGAAAATCACCCCCAAATGATGTGTGGTTACACCCCCATCCTTTTTCTTCCATCTCTCCTTCCTGTTAGAGTTCTGGGCATGCATATAAACATGCCTGGCATATTTTTGGGGGGTGGGGTGGGGGTAGAGGTTTTTGCTATAGGGCGCGTGTGCTCTCCAGAAAGACAGAAAGAGACAGAGAGACAGAAAGCAAGAAATCACACACCCACACCCCCGGGGGGATGGTCACACCACAATCCCTTCTCCTACATTCTCCTCTCAGGATCTTGGGCATGTATGCACATGCGCCCAGCATGAATTTAAGCCACCAGGTCCAGGACTCAAACTACATGGGAGTCCAGTGACATAGGCATTATGCTAACTGCTGGTCCCATGCCTGGCATATTTTTAAAGCTTCTGGGACCAGGATTCAAACTGTAGTAGCCCATGGGATGCAGCTTCCCATACACAGCACTCAACCTCTGTCCTACAGGGCCAGGCCAAGACCTCTTCATTAATCAACACTATTTTCATTATAAAAGGTCCTACTTTATGCCTGATAGTATTATTATCTCTGAAATTAACACAGTAATTTAAATTTTCTTTAATTGGTGCTAGTATAGTATATCTGTTACCATTGTTTTGCATTTAACCTATCTGGATCTATAGTTATAGTAAATTTCTTGTAGGTAGTATAAGATTGAATTTGCTTTTTTTTTTTTTCCCAAAAATTTTTGCTATAGGAAACCTGCACTTGCTGGGAGAGAGAGAGAGACAATGAGAGGGAAAGTCAGAAATCATTCCCCAGAAAGAATGACCATGCCATAATCCCTTCTCCATTCTCCTCGTGGGATTTTGGGCATGTGTATATACATGCCTGGCATGATTTTCAAGCTGCCAGGTCCAGGACTCGAACCACAGTTGGCTATGTGGGAGTCTAGCACCTTAACCACTACACCACCTGCTGGCCCCAAATTCTGTTTTTTTAAAATCCAGTCATATAATCTCTACCATTGAATGTGAGTATTTAGGTAATTTACATTTAATGTGATTGTTGATGTGGTTGAGTTTAAAATATCATTTGCAGTTTGTTTTATATTTGTCCTGTTTTTTTCTTTCCATAATTTTCTTTGCTTGAATAAAACATGAATGCATGCAACAAACAAATGAACAACTATAACTCCAGGTGGGATAAATACTACAAAGTAAAATAAACTGAGGTACAATGAGGCAAGGAGATAAAGGTTACTCAGTAAAATAAGGGGTTTCTCAGAGTGCATGGTCAGGGTTCCTGAGCCCAGACCTATGTGTTGTGAAGGAGCAAATACTCCAAGCACTGCTGGCCTGATCACCTCACCCCACAACACATGGGACACCGGAAGGAAATTGCCACAAACATCATAGTTGAGTGCGTTTTCTTATCTTCTCTTTTGTTTCCTGGACATTTGAACTATGATATTGCATTTTATTCACTGATATTTCTCAGGTCCCTCCAACTCAGAACTGTGACATCTCTTAACAAGAAGTATTGCAAAGGTAAGTTCACAATCACGGAACACCAAATAAAGTAAGTGTTAATAAATTCTTAACACAATTAAGTTAAGAAATCTGATTGCAGGGCCAGTAGGTGGCATGGTGGTTAAGGCACTGGATTCCCACACAGCCAGCCATGGTTTTGAGTCCCAAACCTGGCAGCTTGCTTTCTCACTTTACCCCTCTCTCTCCATTTCTCTCTGTTCAAATTAAATATAATAATAAAATAAATTAAATAATTCTTTTTAAAAAAAAAAGTCTGGTTGCCACTCACTGAATTTGATGGATAAATATTTAAATAATAATAACAGGATTCATCTTTATTAATTTTTTTCTTTTATGGCCAAAAATAAATAAATAAGAGGAATGCCCCCCCCCCATAGGGCATGGTCACACTGCAATCCCTTCTCCTCCATTTCTCGCTCCTGGTGGGATTTGGGGCATGTGCAGGTGGTACCTGGTATGTTTTCAATCCACCATGTCCAAGACTCAAACTGAAGTTAGGCCATGTGGGATCCAGCCACCTTAACTACCAGGCCATGGGCTGGCCCCCTATCCCTTTTAAAATACTCAAGAAACAGAAAGATGTCTCCATTTGAAAGAAAAGTTTAGGATGACCCATCCTTCTAAAGGACTCTATTACTTTGAGAAGTTGAATTTAGTTTTGGATGCCTGTGATCCTATCTGAGTAAAGAAGCACACTCAGTGAGAGCAAAGAGGCCTTGATGAATAGAGACCCCCACAGGCCCTGGTAATGGAATCAGCATGCAGTAGTGAGGCAGGACTGCTGGGTTTCTGATAGATTGATTGGATCTGCAGATTAACACGGTAAGAAAGACTCCAGGTGTTCTGGAACATTTTCTCACTTCTAAAGAATGCTTCAAGCTTTTTCTAGTTAATCTGCAGTCTATTTGCAAGAACATGAGATAAACTGAGGCATGGAATGCCACTGAATTAATCTAGTCATACAGCTACAAGAACCACAAACCCCTGCTTTTGTATCTGGCCTAGGATGAGAAATAATCATCTTAAAGAGGTCCTTGCTTCCCTGACTGTAGAATCTGGTGACTGAATACTCACTGTTTACAAGGACAGAGTTTCATGCAAAACTTGGACAGCAGAGTAGTGAGGTGGAACAGAGATTATTTCTCTCTTGTATACAGGTTGATTGACTAGCCAATGGCCTTAAGAAATGCAATGCACTGGGACCAGCAGATGGCGTAATGGTTACGTCACTGGACTCCCACATAGTCGACCACTGTTTGAGTCCCAGACCCAGTGGCTATAAGCCCAAGCCAGGTTTGTATGTGCATGCCCAAAATCCCAAGAGGAGAATGGAGGAGAAGAGATTGAGGCACGGCCATCCCTCCTGGGGACTGATTTCTCACTTTCTCTCTCTCTGTCTCTCTGGTGAGTGTGCATACCCTACAGCAAAAATCTCTCTTAAAAAAAAAAAAAAAAAAAAAAAAACAATTCACCTATAAATTCTCACTTCTACAATTCAGTGATGGTAGAGAGATAAACGGAAAGACAAATACTGCAAGGATGTCTCCATAATTACTTTTTGTGCAGTAAGACTTCAAGGGCCAGAGGGAGAAAGAGCTTTAACTTTTAATTTTATGTGCTTTTGCTCATCTAAATATTTTTACAATAATTCTTTATTCTTTTTATTGTTTTTTAAAACTTTATAAACTAGTTTAACTTTTATGAGTAAAGCAAGTTCTAAGATAAAAAGTCTGACTTCTTCTCATGATAAAATTCTATGAGAACATTCACTGGCCTGGAACTGTAGCTCCCTCAGGGCTTCATATACAATCACTGTACTTTGGAACTGCTTTAAAAGTGCTCAAATGATTATGACAAGTAGCTAAGGCAAAAGGCACTGGCCTGGTACGTCCTCTTTTCTGACCTTTGAAATATCTGTGAACATTGTAAACTCTAATTCTGACCACTGGGGGCTTTACAATTCAACATGACCCCAGAGTTAAACAGTCATCTGGGCAGATCAAATGATCAAAAACTGCAAGTAGAGACTTCTACTGCTGGCTCTGATAGAGCAATAAAGATCAGATTAAACCTTCTGCCTGAAATAACTCCAAAAATTAGACAAAATGCAGTCATGCATTGGATAATGACATTTTAGTCCATGGTGGCCAATATATATATATTGGTTGTCCTGTAAGATGCTAACTACCTAAACTATATAGCCTAGGTATGCAATAGGCTAAGCCATCTAGGTTTGTGTAAGTACACTTTACGATGTTCGCACAATGACAAGATGACCCAATGACACACTTCTCAGAATGTATCTGTGTTGTTATGCAATGTAAGACTGTATATGAAAAATCAGTTTCGGGGAACCAGCAGTTAGCGTAATGGCTATGTCGCTGGACTCCCACGTAGTCGACAGCGGTTCACGTCCCAGACCCGGTGGCTTAAAACTCACGCCGGGCGCGTGTGCGTGCGTGCCCAAGATCCCGAGAGGAGAATGGAGGAGAAGGGATTGCGGCGTGACCATCCCCCCTGGGGGGTGATTTCTCGCTTTCTGTCTCTATGTCTCTCTCTGTCTGTCTGGCGAGCGCATGCGCCCTACAGTGAAAATCTCTCCAAAAAAAAAAGAAAAAAAAAATCAGTTTCAAGACTTTGAACACTGTCTCAGTCCATTGCTGCTACTGTAACAAAATATCTTATACTGAGTAATTTATAAATAATAGAAATGTATTTCTTACAGTTCTGGAGGCTAGGAAGTCCAAGGTACCAATAGATTTGGTGTCTGATGATGATACTTCTCACTGCATCTTCATGTGGCAGAAGGGCAAAAGGAGCTGGGAATAAAAGTGATAAAAATTGATTGATCTGTTATCACAGTTTGATGGTCATGTTCCCCTAGATGCCGCTTCTCCAAGTACTAATTAAGAGACCTAGACTCCTTTCTTATTGTGATTTTGCGACCCTGTGGCTTCAAAATTGCCCTGGTATCAGTTGACTGGAGAATGAATAGATTTACTTGGGGTAGAATTTTAGGCATAGGTTTGGAAATAGCATCTATCCTTTTCCCCATAATTCACTGTCCATGACCAACCTAATCACCAGGGAGACTAGAAATCTAGAGCTCATAGAATTTAGTCCCCATCAAGAGTCCTCAAAGAGTCTACAGAGTTTTGTTTTGTTTTTAACTATAACTATTGTTTTTAGGAGAGATTTTTGCAATAGGGCACATACACTTGCTGGAGAGACAGAGAGAGACAGAGAGACAAAAATTAAGAAATCACCTCCCAAAGGAAATGGCCAGGCTACAATCCCTTCTCCTCCACTCTCCTCTTAGGATTTTGGACATGCATACACACACACACACACACACACACACACACACACACACATAAACACCTGACATGACTTTTAAGCCTCCGGGTATGGGACTCTAACTGCAGTTGACTATGTGAGAGTCCAGCGACATAATCATTATGCCATCTGCTGGTCTGTATGGAATGCTTTAAAGAATTCCAAAAATGTCCCCATTTTTAAAATGGAATATGTTAATCCTTTTCATAAATAGCAATACAGGTGGGAATTCAGCTAAGCAACATTACTCCATACAGTCATTCGGGGATCCAGGCTGGTAGTGATTCTGCCATGTTAAAAAGTTCTCAGAAGAGCGTAGAGAATCAGATCCCAAGTTGCACTCGTCATCTACACTCAAATACTGTCATCGACCACATGATCATATCTAGCTGCAAAGGGAGATATGAAATGTCGTCTGTGTGCCATGTACAAGGAAGCAGTGAGTTTCTCTGAAGCTAGAGTCTATAGAGTCTGCCCAACCTGGGTTTTTTCACTTTCCCTGCCAAACACCAGTTACTCTCTTAATTTCTTTCATGGATAGTCTTCCCCCATCTATGACTTGGCATGTGTGCATCTAGCTATGCTTCTAACCTGATATAGCATTGGATTTCCCAATTCAGTCTGTTTCTTTTTTTTTTTTTTTTTTTTT